GGGCCACAGGGGGAAATTTTTTTTGGGGGGAAAAATTTTGGGGGAAATGGGGGGGGGGAGGGGAACCCTTTTTTTTTTTCTTTTTTGGGCGGGGGGGGGGGGGGGGGGGGGCCAAAATTTCCCCCCCGGGGGGGGGGGGCCCCCCCCCAAAAAAAAATGGGTTTTTAAAGGTTTTTTTTGGGAAAAAGGGGTTTTTTTCCGGGGGGGGCCCACCCCCCTTTTCCCCCCCCAAAAACCCCCCCCCCCCCCAATTTAAAAAAGGAAGGTTGGCCCCTGGGGTTTGGTTTTTGGGGAAAAAATCCCCCTCCTTTTGGGGGGGGGGGGGAAAAGGTTTTACCCCTAAGGGCCCAAAAAAAAAAAGGGCCCCCCCCCCCCCCCCCCCCCCCCCCGATATGCGACCAAAGCACGAGCAGGGAAGCTGCACCCAATACCCGAAAACCGGCACCTCGATACAAGCATCAAATTGACAGTTTTGAAGAGCGTAGTCGTACTGCCGCTAGAGAACACCGGAGAAGTAATGGAAGGAAGTAAGGAAGTAGTCAAAGACCTCGAGGCGGCGCAGATTGAAAGCAGCGAAAACCATCTAGGTTGCTCAGAGCTCAAAAGTACTGCAGACGTCAGGGCATAACTAACTGGGGATGCAATCCCTACGATCGGGAAGCGACGCAAGTAAGCTAAAATTGCAGCAGCATGTGCGGAATGGGAGAGGAGAGATTACCGAGAATAGCTTGGGAGGCGAAGTGGGCAAAACAGAAGAGGGGTTGACAACCCACGGAGTGGGTCAAGGTTGTAGATGACGAATAGAAGGAGTTACAAATTGACTAAGGTGATACACTGGAAACGGAAGGTTGATGTCGGTTTTGTCTATTGAGAAGAACAAAACCAAACGAGTCTTTCTGTGAGGTTATATTTACTTTCTAAAGATCAAACCAAAGGAGCCAAAGATATGGAGGGTCTAGATGTTTACGTGATGTTGAAGAAGGAACAGGGTTCGAGGAGTACCTACATGGACCAATGGATAAAGGGGCAAAGCTGAAATCCAATTTCAGGATCTGGGACATTGACTTTCGAGAACGTTGGCGAAGATTTAGGAAGGTAGACGATGAAGATGACAAGTTAAAATGTGATTGCGGCTCCGAGTACGAAGACGGGGTCCATATCGTTGGGGAATGCCCGTTGTACAAGGAGAGGGAAGTACATGACTGGGCTGGGAAAAATAGACGGAAGATACAGGGAGGTGTTTGAGGCATTGACTAGCCAGGAGAAGGCGGTAGCTGTACTAGGGCATGGGACGTGGGTTGAAAAGGCGGGAAGTGATATCGATAGGATATATGGACTAGGGAAGACGTTGTTGAGCCACCTTTGGCAAAGTAGGAAGGAACGATTGGTCATCGGTGATCGGTCCTGTGGGAACAATGCTCCCTCCTCTCGAGGGCGCGTGTTCAATGGTGTAACCGCTAAGGTACGCAAAACATGAGAGTACGCTCCGATATGCGAACTCCCTCATGTCCCTTTTCTCTCTATCCCTGGGGTCATTGAGCTTGCGCGAATGTTTGGTAGCGTCTCACCGCTTTAGAATCATCCACCTCTTTTTTTTTCCCCGTGCAAACCGCCCGCCCCCCCTTCTTTTCACCTCCAACTCTCGCTTCCTGCCGCCGTCCGTCCGTGGAACGTCCATTACCATCGACCTGCCGTCCGGGTTACCGGACACGAAGACGGCGACCCTAGAAGCTCGCGCCGCCGAGGCTGCCACGGAAGCAAGAGCAAGAGAAGAACACATCCTCGCAGCCAAGGCCACACTCGAGCAGCACCTTCAAGCCCGCGAAGCGGAGGCGGACAGACGAGCCGCCGAGCTGGCGTCCGAAAAGGCAGCGCTGGAAGCCGCCGCCGACGCCCAGGGGCACCAGAGCGAGCGCCTCCTGGAAACCCTTCGGCGGGAGGCGTCCACCTCCGGAGAGCGGCTCGCGGCGGCGACGTCTGACCTTGCGGCCGCCGAGGTCCTCGTCGACGCCCTCCGGGGTAAGCTCGCCGCCGCCGACGGCCGCGCGGCAGAACTCCTGGCCTCCGCCGAGGCCGACCGCACTGACTCGGAGGCT